TGATTCGTCTCCCTATATGTGAGAAAGCTACTAGCATGGAGGGCTGGGCCAGCTGTCCGCTTGCCTGGTTCCTCAACTGTAGCTAGTGTGACTCCCACTAGGCCCCGGTGAAGGGATGAAAAACAGGGGAGGGACTGGGGGAAATGCGGTGTCTTTCCCTGTCTCTGTTGGAAATCAGGGAGAGGAGCAGGGAGAGAAAGGGGGCCATAAAGTCCCTTCAGATTTTGCCTCTTCTCTCTCTCTAATACTGACAAAATTCTCCCCCAGTTTTGCCCCTATCCCCCCTAACTAAAATGTGTATAAAATCCATGTAGCTTCCCCCTTTTCTCTCAAACTATCTACCTTTTCTCGCTTCCCCTTCTCTGAGTTTGCCCCATTTCTCTCCCCAGTTCTCAAAATGTCAATTTCAAATCATCTCTGATGTGGGGGGATTCCCCCACCCATTTGATATGCAGCGATTGTGGGGAATTGTCCTGAATCATTCCCCCAAATGGGCAGGGGGTTAGTGGGGGCTGTTTGGGGGAGTCCTGAGACACAGCTGCTTCTGGGGTGGAGACGGGGTGGCCCTTCTCTGCCAGCAACAGGGCATGGAAGGGGCCAGGGATTTCCCCTTACCCCTGAATTTCCCCATCACCGGTCATAGACTCATAGAAGATCAGGGTTGGAAGGGACCTCATGAGGTCATCTAGTCCAACCCCCTGCTCAAAGCAGGACCAATCCCCAATTTTCAGCCCAGATCCCTAAATGGCCCCCTCAAGGATTGAACTTACAACCCTGGGTTTAGCAGGCCAATGCGCAAACCACTGAGCTATCCCTCCCCGCCCCTTGCGTGTGATCCGTAGACGGGAACCCCTCTCCAGGAGCCTAATGGCTTCCCTGCTTGACTCCAGGTGTGAGGGGCTCTCAATCTTCCTTGTTGGCGTCATGCCACTTGAATTAACGAATGGAATAAATTCAGTATTAATTGGGCCACAGACAGCAGGAGAATCCCTCTTTAGCCCAGCGCACAGGCGCTCCCCTGAAAGGCAGGACACCCCTGTTCCACTGTTAACTCTCGCCCCCAGGATGAGTGCCTTGCCCCCGGACGAACCGCAACGAGCGGCCTCGCCCTCCTCCCTGTCCCATTTGGGTGACCTCTGGGCATCGAGCACTCGTAGATTCTGTTGCTCCTGAATTATCGGGGCTAATTCCCTTGCCTTGTCCCTAGGGCTGGGGGATTTTGACACTCCCTCCCACTGCACCTGACTCATTAGATTCTCTGATTTCCCACAAGGTGCTTTCCTGCCATCTAATCCCCCCTGAGATACTGCTGACCCCCTTACCATGCATTACTAGGCTGAATCCCACTTGCTCACGCTCCCTGACCCCTGGCTTCCCTTGGATTGTCTCATTTTCACTGGTCCCTTCTGTCAGTAAGATGGTGACCCAGGGAAGTTCCCCCTCTGGTTGGAGTCGCTACATTCTGGGACAGAGAGGTGGTTTAGGTGTCCCTTGGACGATGAGATGCAGATAATTAAATATGGAGCACCAGAGGAGCTGTCCCCAGGATTTCCCTGCTTAGAAATGAGCTTGAATACAGCCTGGCCCACCTCCACAAAGATGCATCGGAACTGGAAAAAGAACAGCGAAGGGCAACAAATGTGATTAGGGGTACGGAAAACGCCTGCGCGAGGGGAGATTAAAAGAACCGGAAATGGTCACCTCAGAAGGGAGACAACTGAGGGGGGCATATGATCGAGATCTATAAAACCATGAGTCATGTGGAGAAAATGAATGAGGGAGTGTTATTTACCCCCCTTTGCACTCACAAGGGCTAGGGGTCACCCGAAGCATCTCCAGGGCTATGAGGAAAGGGAGATGCTGAGAAGGGCATGGGCAGGTAAGAAATTAGTTAAACCCCCTCCAAAAAAATCTCAGGGCCTGCAGGAAACAGCCGGGACCCTGGGAGCTCTCGGAGTTCAGGGTTGTCCCCCTCAGAGGTGCTATCCATATGGCTCATGGCTTCCCATCCATCCTCACTGACACCTGGCAGCAGCTCCCTCTCTGACCTCCTTTCCCCCTGAGTTTTCAGATGGGAGGTGGAAGCAGAATTGGTCCCCTCCTCTCTTCCCCTCTGGGGCACAGTTTGGTGGGTTCAAGTCCTGTTGTTTTTTCTCCCATCTCTCCAACCATTTAATCTGGTTTCTTCCCAACTTGCCAAGGTTTCCTTTCTCCTCGGCACAGGGAGCAACCCTCCTCCCCGCATCCCAGCAGCCGAGACGGGAGGATGAGCAAGAACGAGGGGGGGACGCCGCAGCCGCGAAAAGCCAAGCCAGAAGAACCACATGGGAGATTGGCAGGAAGATATAAAGGGAAGTTTTCCCAGAATCGTGAGCAGGGGAAAGCCTACGAGAGGCAGTCAGGGAAGAAAGAAGGTGAACCCATTAATGCCAGGCTGAGTTTGCCCCATGCCAGAAGCTGCACTCCCACCTAGCCACTTCAACCAGACCTGTGGGGCCCATCTCAGTACCCTCGCTGGCCTGGCCAGGCTCTGCGCACAGTCCCCCTGGCATCCGCCTGCCCGCACTGACCTTGCTGCTTGTCTTATATAGGGCCCTTCTGGCCCCGGATTGGTCGCTCCATCACCCCTTCTGATTGGCCACGCCTCTGCAGTCACTCTAGGCTGCCCGGAGGACTTCTCGCTGCTCTTTTCTGGGGCAGGGTGATGCAGGGCCATGGAGCCTCCAGCAAGGGGCCTCCGGACCTAGTCCCTCCTGCCCCACCCCTCCCCACTGTCCGAGAGACATCCAGCCCCATAACCCCTCCTTTTCCCTTTTTAAAGTGGTGCTGATGTGGAGGTCAGGAGAGGTGGGAAGAGGCTCCCCCCAGTGACCAGGGTTTCATTAGATCCTACCATCAGAGGTCTCTGGTTATTGCTATGGGATTGAGGTGCAGGATCTCTGTTCTGTTAGGTCCTTGTACTGCACACAACACCATGGTACGTGAAATTGTATCAGCCTGATTGAATACCTTTCACTCTCCTTTCAGTTTCACGTTGTTCTTGGTTGTCTTGTCCTCTCCCCTGCGGGAGAAGCTTGTGAACCGGAGTGGCTCGTTTTGGTAGGGCTGTCTGCTTGTGTCGCTTTCTGGTGGTGGTTCCAAATAGACTCCTTAGTACATATTTGCCGTTAGAGGAGACAACATTTAGAAAATAAATGCACCTTGCCTTCAGAGTGGAAGGTGGTGAGGTGTGAGATGGTCCTTAGTTCCTAGGAGAGTCCATTCCAGAGTCTCAGAGAAAGCTCTGTCTCCCGCACAGATGAGCTGGGTTAAAAAAAAAAAAAAAAAGATAATTTCATGGAGGAGGAGTCCATCAATGGCTATTAACCAAGATGGTCAGCGATACAACCCCCTGCTCCAGAGGTCCCTAAACCTCTGGCTGCCAGAAGCTGGGACTGGATGACAAGGGATGGGTCGCTCGATGATCGCCCTGTTCTGTTCATTCCCTCTGAAGCACCTGGCACCGGCCGCTGTCAGAAGACCCAATCTGGCCGTTCTTATGAGCTTTACCCTTCTTGTAGAGAGCTCCGTTGTGCCAGGTGGTAAAGGCCCGATCATCATCCACTAGGATTGTTACCCTGGAATTTGACAGCCCTGCGTATACCCTGGACGTGACAGCCCGGCCGTCAGCGATTTTGTGGCTAAAACCCTAATACCACCTAGGTAGGAATGATCTTAGGCCTTTGTGAGACAAGGTCAGACAGCGGCAGGCTTGCAGTCTGTTAACCAGAATGGGAGGATGGGACAGAAAGTTATGGAAGTGAACACAGCGACCTGGGTTCGAAGTGCCCCTGACGTATTGTTGTTATGGCTAGAAATACTAGAAGTGTTTTGAGATAACGAGCAGTTGGTTGAAATTAGGAGAATTGGTGACCCAGTAGAGGAGTCTCTAGGTTATGTGCTTTGTTAGAGTTTGCCATAAAAGATTAGGTGAAAGTAAACGCCTTGGAGAAGCCCGAGGGAGCTTTTCTTAGGGCAAGGAGCTGGCATCTAAACCCCGCATCAGCTGGATGGAAAGAGGGCCCCTGGAAGCCCAGCTGGTGATCACTCAAAACCATCTCAGACTGTGGTTAACTTTATCTGGGTTGTCCTAAACCTACTGCGTGCATGTGTGTGTGTGCGTTTAATATCTAATAAATAGTAGTTTTAGAGAAGAGCACGCTTGCTTGTATCAATCTTTTATCAGACGGAAGCCCCATGTTCCCATTGATATATTCCTGACGCTGCCTGCAGAGAAACAGCCGGATCTGTGCTGACCTTCATTAAAGCTCCCTCTAAGCCCTGCCAAGGTGGGGACGGTCGCCAGCTAGGACTAGCCCCAGACGCTGCTGACAGGAACTCCTGATCAGAGAGTCCAGGTGATTGAGAGAGACCTCAGGGAAAGCGCTGAGGACAGGCAGGAAATTGACTGCACAGTGAGCCCTTCCTCCTCCCCCATCTCTGCTCCTCGTGTATCTGGGAGGACACCCCAGAGCTGCGGTCATCATTAAGATTAAGGCCAAAAGGGATGATTCCATCAGCGAATCTGACCGGCTTCACCCAGGCCCTTACATTTCTCCCACTGACCCTGTATGGGGTCCAATAACTTGTTGCGGATAAAGCTTATTTTCCTGACTGGCATCCAGCCTTTCTGGCCCTGCCAGAGCTGGTTCTGTGATGGGGAGAAAGAGCCTCCAAGAATGGGGTGGTGACCAAGTTTTGCATCTTGAGGGCGGAAGGAAACAGGAGCGAGAGAGAGACTGAAGAGGACTGGTGTGGAGAAAGTAAATCAGGAAGTGTTATTTACTCCTTCTCATAACACAAGAACTAGGGATCACCAAATGAAATGAATAGGCAGCAGGTTTAAAACAAACCAAAGGAAGTATTTCTTCCCCCAACACCCTGTCAACCTGTGGAACTCCTTGCCAGGGGCTGTTGTGAAGGCCAAAAATATAACTGGGTTCAAAGAAGAATTAGATAAACTCATGGAGCATACGTTTATCAATGGCTATTAGCCAAGATGGTCAGGGATACAACCCCATGCTCTGGGTGTCCCTAAACCTCCAATTTCCAGAAGCTGGGACTGGATAGCAGGGGATGGATCACTAGGAATTCCCTGTTTTTGTTCATTCCCTCTGAAGCACCTGGCTCTGGACACAGTCGGCAGACAGGACACTGGACTAGATAGACCATGGGTCTGACGCTGTATGGCCGTTCTAATGTTCTTATTCAATTTCCTCTGTCGCTGACTTCTGCCAGTTCTTCCTCAGTCTTCTTCACTTTCTCTTTCCTCCCTCAAGTATCTAGTTCAATATTTGCTTATATGTATCCCATCTTCTCTGCAGTGCACCTGTCCCAGCTACCTGCCCCACCTTCTTGGCTCCCAGTAGGAGTGGGAGGTGGGGGGCCAAACAACTTAGTGTTAAGAAAGAGCCAGACTAATGTCTGCGTGTGATTGTCTAACAGGGCTGCTTGAGATTGTGGGGGACAGAGCTCAGAAGCCCTGGGGCTCACTTCTGGTTTATGTCTTATGTTAGTTACTAAGAATCTCATGCTTCAGGGTTTCAGATGGCCCCGTGCAGGGGTCAGGAAGGGATTTTTCCCCCCCAGTGTATTCCGGGCAGTCTTTTTATCTCCTTTCGCTGGCCCTGGCTGGAGATGGGACAGTGGGCCGGGGGGGCGCTGAGGGCTCTGAGAAGGATCCGGGAGTTGCGGTGGATCACTGGAGATGATAGTACCGCTCTACCCAGCGCGGGTTCGGTCTCAGCCGGAGCACCGTGTCCAGCTTCGGTCACCCATGTATAGAAAGGATGTGGGGGAAGTGGAAAGGATCCAGAGGTGAGCGACAAAGGTGATCAAAGGGGTGGAATGCAAGCCCGATGGGCAAAGGCCGAAGGGGTTTGGTACATTTAGGTTGGAAAAGAGGAGATTAAGGGTGGATGTGATAGCGGTCTTCAAATACTTGAAAGGCTGCTGTAAAAGAGATGTAGAAAAGTTGTTCTCTCTCGCCACCGAGGGCAGGACAAGAGGCGACGGGTTCAAACGACACCTCAGCAGATAACGGTGAGGACAGCAGGACAGCTGAACAGACTCCTCGGGAGGCCCCGGGAGCTCCTTCACCGGAGGTTTACAGAAGGAGGCTGGACAGCATCTGTCTTGGCTGGCTTGGACACAACAAATCCTGCGCCTTGGCAGGGGGTTAGACTAGATGAGCCTTGCGGTCCCTTCTAGCCCTATGGTTCTATGACTCTGATCCTCTGTTTGACCAGATGTTGCGAATCCTTCCAAAAGCGGCGTTTGCTTTTCCTCAGCTTGCACGAATACCTCCAGTGCAGACACCTTCAGATGTCCCCACACTCCCCCGAGAGCAAAGCTCTTCTACTGGTTAGGTTTCTTTGCCAGTCACCTGCCCCTTTGCACCTGTTGTCCAGATTCCGTCCTTCACCATCTTGGTTTTCCCAGCATTTACTTGCAATCTAATTTTTGATTGCCCTGGTTGACCATTTTGTTCCATGTCAAACTTAGTAAAGCAACGTCCTCAGCAAAGTCAAAGTTTCAGAGGAGCAGCCGTGTTAGTCTGTATCCGCAAAAAGAAAAGGAGGACTTGTGGCACCTTAGAGACTAACCAATTTGTTTGAGCATGAGCTTTCGTGAGCTTTATTAGTCTCTAAAGTCAAAGTTGTGTAACTCGTCTGCGCCAACCCATCGGACACAGTCCATAATGCCTTCTGCTGCCGGCTTCATCAGCCACTCTCTAGCGAATGGAAAAAGGATTGGTGATGAGACACACCCCTCATCTCACCCCTCTCACAATATGGAGCCATGCACCAAAGCCTGCATCCAATCCCACTGCTCATCTCAGAGTTACGAACGCCTGAGTTACGAACTGGCCGGTCACCACACACCTCGTTTGGAACCGGAAGTCCACAATCAGGCAGCAGCAGCGAGCAAAAAAGAAAAAAAGCAAATACAGTACTGTGCCGTGTTAAACATAAACTACTGAAAAAGTAAGGGGGAAAAGCAGTCATTTTCTTCTCCACCGTCAAGTTACAAAGCTGTATTAAGTCAACGTCCCTAGCGTTTAGTTCAGAGTTACAAACAACCTCCCTTCCCGAGGTGTTCGTAGCTCTGAGGTTCTGCTGTACATCCGTCATATAAACTCCTCCTTACGTAGCTCAGCTTGTCTATGTTCCTCAAGGTCTCTCTGCGGACCCCATCAAACGCTTTCTTGAAGTTGACTATGCTGCCGCAGCTTTTTCGATGAACAGCTGAGGAACGAACATCTGTTCCCAAATGGTCTGGCTGGCTGGACCCCAGCCCCTCTGCTCACAATGCTTCTTTCCCGCCCTCCTTAATTCAGTCCAGCAGGACGGTAGCCAGGATTAATAACAGCCTG